AAAAGAATGAAAATAACTGTATTTGAATCTCATTAAGAATTGAATCATACTAATAATAACAACTTCATCTTTTTCATATTCTATCATCTTGTTTTCTTTTTCATCATTAATGTATTTGTTTTGAATAAATTAATCTTAATAAATATGTTGACCAACTCTTTATTTCATTTGAATCTAACATTTCATTGTTGTTTATTTATTTCATTCTTATTGATTCAATCTTATGAAAAATTTATGTATTTCATTATATTATTTGATTTATTCTATTCTTTCTTCTTTTTTCACAATTTCTCTTCTTTTTATTATTTTTTATTTTACTGTTATAGTATTACATGTATTTATTCATTCTTTTAAATGATTATTAATATCATCATTTCACGTATAATTTCAATGTATATTATTTATAAATTTATTCTATTATTATTTGGTATTTTGTTGCCATGTTGAACAAAATATGATAAATAAATATAAACCATCATTATTATTTCCGATTGATACAATTAGATATTGTAAATAAATGAAAATAATTAGAAATCTTTTACTAACAGCAACTAACATAATTTATTATTAGAAATGAATAAATTAATATGTGTTTATTATTTAAATACAAGAATTATTTATTACAATATTCATTGTTGTTTTCAGTATTATATTGAAATTCATTATCACAAGTATTAATATTTGAATAAACTACTTTATTTATCTCATTTTATATAATAATATTATTATTTTAAATATCGTTTATATAATTTCATTGTATAATACAATTCAAAATAAGCGAGATACTTCAAAATCTGAAGCTTAAACAAAATTCCATATTCATTAATTTAAAAATGAAACTAACTGAACATTATCAATAAACTAATAAGATAATAAATAGAACAATTCGTTTATCAAAATATTCACTCAATATCATTTTCATCATTGAAATAATTATTTAGTGAATATAATTTATATCTATTTTAAACTATCATTTATGAAATTTCATTTCAATCTATAATTATTCAATATGAATGAATGAAATTGATTTTATAAATAATGTGCTGACATAATAAAATAAATAATTAGACTATAATTTTAAAAGCTATTTGTGAAAGTGTATAAAAAATATACAAGAACAAACAAAAGGATAGAAAATAGAATATTAAGAATAAATATTACATTCTAAACAAAAAAGAAAATAATTGGGAAAATAGTATTTTGAAATAATGAATAAAATGATGATTTATCATTCAATGAAAAAAAATTATTAAAACTAATATAATCACATGAAGTGATAAAAGGATATAGTGTTTGTAGTATTACAATATCAAGTTAGAAAGTATATTAACCAAAATAGAACGAAAACAAGAAAATATACATAATACAAAAAAAAACGATAATATACATGAAGAAGAACTAAACAAAATTAAAAATAAAATAGTAAATAATTTTATTACCTAAAACAACATCATATTAATCACAATAGCCATTAAAGCAAAAGAAACAACAACAACTATTTGAAGAATTGTTCCCATTTTTTCTAATTTTTTTTGATATTCCTCTGTAACTTCTTTAATATCATCATTTTTATTTTCACCCATTGTTTTAATTTGTTCATGATAAGATTGTAAAACATTGATTAATTCATTTTCTTTGAGTTTATCAATTGATTCTGGTAAAACATCAATAATTCCATTCTTTTCATAAGTTTTTTTCAAATTCTTTTCATTGACATTTTCAATTTTTAATTTCCATTCATTTTGAACTTCAATAAAATGTAATTCCAATAATTGTTTTTCATATCTTTTTTGAATAATATTATATACCTCTTCAAAATCACTACCATTTTCAGCAGCAATAATAACTGGGTTCATTAATTTCATTTCTTCCATGTTTTGTTGTAATGAAATAGGTACACAAAATATTTCACTTTCTGCATAAAAGCCATGACTTTCTTCACCTTCAACTTTTATTTTTAATTCTTTAATTTTATTTTCTTTTAAAATAACATCAACTTTAATATTTCCATTATCTCCACATGCTTTTCCATGATGAACATTTATAGTAATTTTATCATCACAAATAACAGAAGCATCACCATTAAATCTTCCATTAATCATTGGAGGCATTATAATTTCAATAAATTTATCTTCAATATATCCTTTAATAAACCATTCTTTACTTGTTAATTTTCCAATACATTTACTTTTTGATTGTTTCCATTCAAATTTTGCTTGTGCATTTAATTTAAATGCTTTTCCTCTTAATGCATAAGCAATTGTTGTAATATAATTATCTACATTTACTACTTCAAATAATGCATTTACAATTTGAGAATTACTTCCATGATATTCAATTCTAAGAAACTCTCCTTTTTGTGGTTTTAAAACTTCTCCCTTCATAATTAACATTTCCAAAAAACAAATTAACACATTTTCTAAATGAATATTTGTTAATGATGTAATACTTTTAAGTCCTAATGAAATTATTTTTAAAATAGTAGAAATTTGTTGTTTTTCTGGAAAGATTTTATTAAGAATAAAAGATCCATAAGGAGTAATTTTTGTATCTTTTTTAATTTCATTAATATATGGTGTTGGTTGTTTTATTAATTCAATTAATTTTATATCTTCAATTTTCTTTTTATCTTTTTTCTTTAATTCTTCAATTTCTTCTTTCAGTGAATTAATATTCTTTTCCATTATTTCTTTATCTTTTTCTATTATTTCTTTTTCATTTTCAATTTTCTTTCTATTTCTTTTTTCTTCTTCAAGACTTTCTAAAATATTTTTCTTTTGACTTTCTTCAATTTTTTGTTGAACTATTTTTTCTGCCATTTTTCTAACACTTTCTTGTGCATTAATTTTTTCTTTTTCATCTCTTATTTTTTGTTGTATAATACATTCTTTTTCATCTTTTTCTTTTTGAAGTTCAATTTCTTTTTGTTTAATAAAATCTTTCATTTTTTCTTTTTCATTTTTTTCATTTTCTAATTCTTCTTTTAATTTTTGAATTTCAATATTTATTTCTTTATTTAAATTTATTTTTTCTTGTTCAATTAATTGTATTTTATTATTTAATTCTTCTTCTTTTTTCTTTAATACTTCAATTTTTTGTATATTTTCTTTATTTTTATTTTCTAATAATTCATTTTCTTCTTTTAATTTAAGAATTTTGTTATTTTCTTCTTCATGTTCTTTTAATGGTGTTTCTTCAATTATTTTTTTCATTTTTTCAATATTTTGTTTTAATTCATAAATATTTTGATCTTTTTCTTTAATTGTTATTATTTGATTATTTTGAATAATTTCCTGTTCTTTAATTTGGTTTTCAAAATCTTTGATTTTCTTTTTAATTTCATAATTTAATTCTTCTAATGCAATTTCCTTTTCTTTTTTTATTTCTTCTATTTCATTTTCTTTTTGTTGAATTTTATTTTCTATTTTTGTATTTTCTGTTTTACATAGTTCTATTTTTTCTGTTAATGATGTTATTGTTTTTGAATAATTTGTAATTTCACTTTGAAGTTTGTTATTTTCATCTTCTTGAATTTTGTCTTTTTCTTTTAATTCATTAATTTTATTTTGAAGTATTTCATTTATTTCATTTAATAATACTTTTTCATTTTCCTTTGTTTGATTTATTTTTTTAAGTTCATCATTTTGATTTTTTATTTTTTGATTTTCTATTTGATATTTTGATAATTGAATTTCCAAATCTTTTTTATCATTAATCAATTGTTCCATTTCTTTCTTTTTTATGAATTCTATCATTTTTCTATTTAATTTTGAATGAATCATTTCTTCTTTTAATTCTTTAATTTCTTCATTATCTAAAATTATATCAGCAAATAAATATTCTTCTTCTTTAATGTTTTTAATATTTTTCTTTTGTTCTTCAATTTCTTTATTTAATTCATTAATTTTTTCTTTAAATCTTTTTTCATTTTCTTTTTCTAATTTGTTACAATTATTTTTTAATTCTTCCATTTCTTTTTCTTTATTTGTTATTTTTTCTTCTTTTATTTTAATTTCATTTTCTTTTTCTTTTAATTTTTCTTTCATTTCTTCATTTATTTGTTGATATTGATTATTACTTTCTTCTTTTTCTTTAAGTTCTTTTAGTGTTTCATTTATTTTTTCTTTTAATATTTCATTTTCTTCTTTTTTAGTAATCAATTCATTTGAAATAATTTCTTTTTGATTTGTTAATATATCAATTTCTTTTTCTTTATTTTGTTCTTCCTCTTTTAGTTGATATATTTCTAAATCCTTTTTTGTTATAATTGTTGAAATATTATTTTTATAATTTTCTTCTGCCATTTTCATTTCTTCTTTTATTTTGATAATTTCTTCTTCTTTTCCTTTAATTTGTTTTTCTCTTTCATTTTTTATTTCTTGTTCAAATTCTTTTTTAATATTTTCAATTTCGATATCTTTCTTTGAACATTCTTCGGTTAATACATTAATTTTATTTGTATTAGAATTATTACCTTCTTCTAATTCTTCAATTATTTTTTTTAATTGAAAAATTTGGTTTTGTAAAGAAGTTTTATCATTTTCAATTTCTTCTCGTTTTTGTATTTCATTTTTTAATTTTTCTTTATCACCTTCATTTTCTATTTCTTTTTTATTATATTTTTCATTAATTTCTTCTTTTTCTTTGTTAAGTTTTTCTATTTCTTCTTTCATTATAACATTTTCTTTCATTATTCTATTTCTTTCTTCTTCTCCTTTTTTTGTTATTTGATTCATTTCTTCTGTAAAAAATTCTTTTGTTTGTTGTTCTTTGATTTTTGCTTCTTTAATTTCATTGTTAAAGAATTTATTTTTTTCTTCAATTTCTTGTAAAAGACTTCTTTGATTGTTTATTTCTTTTTGTAATACTTCAATTTGATTAGTTAATTTTTCTACATCGTTATTACTTTTATTAGTTATTCTTTGAACTTCATTTTGTAATTCGATTTCTTGTTTTCTTTCAATTATTAACTCTTTTTCTCTTTCTTCAATTTCTTTTTTCATTTCTTCAAAAATACGAACATTTTCTTCTTTATTTTCTTGTAAATTCTTAATTTCTTTTATTCTTTTTTCATTTTCTTCTTTTATCTCTTGGATACTTAAAATTAATTCTTCTTTTTCTTCTTGAATATTTGATATTTCAAGACATTTCTTTTTAATTTCATCTTTATTATATTCATTTTCTAAATTGATTGCTTCGAGTTCTTTAATTCGTTTCAACAATTCCTCAAATTCTTTTTCTCTTAAATGATGTGCCTTTTCAACTTCTTCTTTAATCTTCTTTTCCTTTTCTTGTTCTACACGTTGAATTTCACATAAACTTTGTTCTTTTTGTCCTTTCAATAATCTAAAAGATTCTTCCCTCTCTACTTTTAGTTTTTCAATCTCAATCTTCTTTTCTCTCATTTCTTCTTCTAATTTTTGAACTTTTTCATTTGCCTCTTCTTTTTCTTTTTCTGCTGCAATTTTTTCTTCTTCTAATTTAGAAAGTTCTTCTTTTGCTTTCTTTAATTTTTCTAAGTCTTCTTTCCTTTTTTTTTCAACAACTTCATCAAATGAATTAATTTTATTTAAACCTCTTTGTTCTTTTTGAGTTTTCTTCATCCTTGATGATCCAATAGAATCAATAATTGGAATTGTTTGATTTTGTTGGTCTTTACGGTCTTCTTCCGAATCCACACTAGACTCATTAACACTTCCAAAGAGTGAAGGATCGAATGGTTGAGCAGACATCATTGCACCCCAAACTCTCCAAACCAAATCAACTGTTGCTTTAATAATTGTCATCCAAGAAGATAATTGATCTTTTTCAATACAAAAGCAACAAAGATCCTTATAATAATATAATTTTTTATTATCAAATCCTGTTTTAAAAAACAAATTTTTTTTTCCTTGAAGAATGATAGTATTTTCATGATGATCAGATAATTTAACAGTGATATTTAATAAATTTAAAATAGCGAAAGGTTTTATGTTTTTATAATCATTTTGTGATTGAAAAATAAGTAACAATGGTGGTGAAACAACAATATAAACTGGTAAATATTTTTTTTTTAATCCGACTTTTTGTTTCATTAAAACATTCCCTTCTTTTGTTGTATTTAATGAAATTTCATTAAATATAGTTCCAATTTCATCATGTAATAAATGTTCTGCACCAGCAAATAATACTTTTATTTTACTCATTTTTTGAAATGTTTTACTATCTCTTTGTGACAATGTAAAACTTGATCCTTCAAGATCTTTACCTTCAACACTATCATTAATATACTTTGTCCATCTTTTAAACATTAATTCATCACAAAAGAAAAATACTTTTTCTTCATCACTTACTGGTTTAATCATTATTGAATATTTATATGTTTGTAATAATTCTGGTGGTAAATTATATTCTTCACTTGAAACCATCATTATTTTTGCTCCCTTTAATGAAAAGCAAACTCTTTGTTCATGAAATAATTCTACTGTTTGTCCATGTAATGCGCACCAAACAGGTAACATCATGTGAGCATGTGATTGGTAATAAAATACTACTCCTTCTTTACTCATACTAACATTTTTAAGATATTACAAAAATCTCTTAATCCTTTCTTTATCTTTTTTTTTATCACTTTTCCTTTTTTCTTTTCTTCTTTTCTAATCAACTCTTTTCTTTTTTCTATATTTAAATTCTTTAATTTGTTTCTCTTTTTTTTTGTTTTATTTATTTTTGTTATATAATCTAAAATATGAGATATAAAACAAATAAAAAGGAAGAAAAGAACTTAAAAAAAAGA